AAATCTGCATCTTGCATTGCGTAACCTTTTCTTGTACTTTTTATACTTCGCCTAGGCTACATTGAGGTTATTTCTTATAGATAAGATACACATTGCAGCTAAGGACTCTATAATGACGAATTCATAGGGAAAAATCAAGCACAAATGTAAGACCTCATCTAATAAACCAGGTTAGGCCGAGTTTCTTTAATGACGACATTGTCAATATATTATTCTCATACATCTCCAATTCGGCAGAATAGTCTTTAAGATGCTACCGTATGAACTAGTGTTAATGAAGATTAAACATTTCATCACAGTGCTCAGCTTATGCCATTTTTACTGAATCACGTTCAAATGCGGGTGTAGCTTGGATTACACAGCGGAGAATACAAATGATGGTGATGAATGAATGAGTCTATCACTGAGCGCGCCGGCATGACCATCCATATCTCTTGCTTCTTTATTTCGTAACGTACCTAACTGGAGAAAGCTCGACTCACTTTGGTCTGTCCAATAATAATCATGCAAATCTTTCATCGCATAAAATTTCCTTTCTATCAGAATAACTGTATAAGATTTCCTTTCTATCAGAATAATTCATTTTACTGTCTCCATATAACCCTCTTTGTATATACAAAGCGCATGGATTGCAATGTGTGTATATAAGTTCTTCTACATACAAATTTTCATTTCTGAACCGACCCGACCGAACTTTAAGCACATACACATTGGTACACAGCGTGTCACGTTGACCACCAACCGGAATTTTGTTTGATTCTAGTGATTTGTCGGTTTTTCGCACTTTCTACGAAAAATTCAATTCGAAACAAAGATAACTGCTGGCCGCCGGGTATGAAAGCTAGTCTACTATACTGTATAGTCATATTTTCCCTTTAATGCTCCGTTGTCTGTTAGGAGGATTCGTTACAAAAATATCTTTATTTGAAGGTTACGATCATACGAAGGAGTTCAAGCGAACTTGATATCCGATTTAAGAACACTACTGCATTGGGATGATTATAATTAGTTTTGGCACTCAAGGTCTGCTGTTTGCAACTCATGTAACCGTGTCCTATAAGTCATGGATATTAACCAAAAATAACTAATATTTCCTTTTTGCATTGCTTAACAACATTATGGAATTATGAAATTTTTCTCACATAATAACAGCATGAAGAGATGGTGAAAGTTTCCGAGGTTACATCACCTTCACTTTTCTAGCCACAGTTGTAGATAATGCTATGTTAGTACTCTTCAGAACACACTTTGCACTCACATGGACATTGTGGATTAACAGGAACTGAGTACATTTACTGGGGAGTTCAAAGGGCATAAAAGTCCGATGTTAACAACCTTGGGAACATTGATGCGGAAAAACTCCTCTTGATGTTCAAATTTGTGCTAAATTATCTTTTAAGCTCAGAAGTCTAAGTTT